CTACCACTATCTCTTTCAAGTATCACCTCCTCTCTCCTGCCCTATTGAAATAGTTCCCAGTCGAAAGGAGGAACCCCTTGTGTGGGGCGTCTCCACAGCACCCTCATTTTTCCTCCCAGACCCATTCCAATATGTAATTCAGGCTTGTGTAATTTTAAGGATGGTAGAGTTACGTTTTACTTATCCCTGTAGTCTGTGCCTGACACAGACTACACACTCAAAATTATTTTTCCAACAAAAAAGTAAGTGAATATCAGTACTGAAAAGCAGAGACAGAAAAAGTTGACGAGAGAACTCTGGTGAACACCTTTAGACTACAGAAAGAAAGAGCAGGAAAAACAAATTCGCGAAGAACCAAGAGAAGGCAAGACAGCTGAGGTCACGTGGAGATTCCAGGAGGACTGTCAGCTATGATTCATGCTGCAGGTAGAGAAGGAACAGGGCAGCAAGAACAGCTAACGTTTATTGGGTGCTTCCTGTATGCCAGTTACTGTCCTGAGACTCAATGTGGATTAATTCAGTCTTCGTACTAGCTCTGTGAAGTAGGTGTCCCTGTTATCTCTCCTGTACAGAATGAGTAATGAGTCTTACAGATTTTGCCCAAGGACAAACAAGTGGGGGAGCCATGAGTCAAATCAAGCCAGCTGGCCCCAGAGTGTGGAGTCTTACCCACCATGCAGCCATCCCCGTTCCTTCTTGCACTGGGACAGGCAGCAGTGTGCAGGGTGAAGGAGTGTGGCGGAGTAGGTGGAAAAGGAAAAGGAGGTCCAGTGACCCTTTTATGACCTTTGGCCATGAAGAGAGGATAGAAGTGTCTATCATTCTGTGTTAGAGCATCTCTCACATTATGTCCCCAAATCTACAGGAACTACATGTGACAAGAACATTCCTGATGCACCACTGGCCATTGGAGCCTGGAGAAAGAGAGAGAGTTTTATTTTAGGAACAGATCATTTTGATCACGTCTTCAGGATATTATTCCAGCTGCCTTGACATTGACTTTTTTTTTTAACTACATTCCAATGTTATTATTCACTTAAAATAGTCCTTGAGAGAGAGACAAAAATCTGGCTTTGACAGTAAAAAGCACTGTGGTAATTCAACTTGCTTGCAGTTTTACATATGCCTATGAATTCGTTCTTTGCTTTCATTTTTTCTTTCAGCTGAGGAAGTAGAGTCTTGCCCAAACTAGATGGAAAAGCACCTGTATTTGCATTACCACTTGTGTTTTGCATAACAAATGTACAGATACAGAATCCACCAGCAACAGCTAGGTCAGGCAGACATTCCGGGAAAAACATGCGTGCCTCAGTGACAGATGAGACCGATTGGTGGTTGTCACATTGCAGAATGTTGCATACTCTCAGAGCTCACAATGTTAAGATTTTGGCAGATTTATAGATTCCTTTAATTAAAGAACTGGAAGGATATGAATAACAGAACTATTTCATTCCTAATTGATGCAGATCTGCAATGTTTGTGACTAAAATCTGTTCCCAGAATCTTTCATTACAGAAGTTTTTAAATTTGATTTAAAGTATGTGCCTATATAGTTATCTTTTTCTTCCTTAACTTTTTTTTATGGACGGTAACTTCGCCTAGGCCAAAATCTATCAAGTCTTTTTCATGCAATGGAATTGGAATTGATCGTTTTATAAGGTTTTTGCTTTGAAAGTAGGAGCTTGACATCCTAAGGACAATTCAGCACTGTTCAGGGATGCTGACAATCCAACTTAAAAGTAGAGAGAAAATGAATCTCTTTTAAAAATTTATTTGTAGCATTTTCTTAATTTCTTGAAGTTTATTTTAAGAAATAAATAAACCAGGACAAACATTTGACCACTTAAAGCATTTGGGATAGCATAAAATTGGACCACAGCCTAACTTTTTATCACTTATAAAATGCACATGTTCTCTTTGGCCTGTCCTTGGACAGGAAAAGAAACTTCAGTTACAAACCAAGCAGTTCAGATTGAACATTGCCTTAAAAATGTAAGAAAAATAATTTTCTAAAGAAAGCTTTTTGACAAGCAGAATTAATTTGTGCATGCTTTGCTGAACAAAGTGAAATAAATATGATGGTATCAGGAGTGCCTTTCAGCCTTTTACACTCTTTACTCTACCACTCCTGATGCCTGTTAGGAACATTCACCGCATTGTCACTAGGTCTGATTAGAATTTGTTTTTGAAGCCATTTCGCCACATTAAGGGAACACTTGCCAATGGATAGTTTGAGCTGTTAGGGCACAAGGCTGTGGTTTTTGCCAATGAAAAAGAAGACTGTTCCCTTAGACAGATCATGAGCCCATCATTTTATAGCCTCTTGGCCAGAATTACTGTGTTATCTGCTGACCTTTCCCCTTTGAACATCCAGATGATACTATAGGGTACCCATCTACCCAGAGCTTTCAAAGAAACCAGGATTCACTGAAAGGGTACCAGTAAGCAGTTAGAATGCAGTTGTGTTTTGTTGGATTTTTATGAACTCTTTATTTCAGAAGTATAACTCCAGGGGTGTTTATTTCACACTGATGCTTATGATCTCTCGTGCTAGCATGAGCAATGAGTCGCCATGACATATAGTGATGATGATAATAACTAGCAGTTAATTGAGCTCGCTCTTTGAGCCAGGAATTTTTCTATTTTTTAGGCACTTCACCTGCGTTAGCACATTTAATATTCATAAGCACCCCATGTAGTAGGTAATATTAGTATCACCATTTACAGGGGAAGAACTGAGACATAGGGAGGTGATATAACCTGCCTAAGGTCACAGAGGCCATGCTGTGTCTTTATCCAACAGTCTAAGAAAGGATTCATGAGCACCGATAAATGTGAATAGGAAAACTGACATCTGAAGGCAGTGATCACTGGGCAGGTTTACGGAGCTCTTGTGTGGACACAATTCCCAAGCCGTCCTTTCAGGATGGTTGAGAAAAATAGAGGCCTAAGACCCTTTCACGCCTGTTTCTGTCTGAAGTAAGAATCCAGTGTCTGTTAGTGTTTTCTTTTAAGAGGCTGGGTTTACGGCAACCCCGATGCAGAGCTGTCCTCTTTTCCTCCACAGTTCTGTGCTACTTTGGGGAGGGGTGAGTCCTCATAACCAATCCGTAGGTCTGATGCCAGTGTGTTCGGTCAGTACGGAAGGTGGAAGGGCTCTTCCTATCACCGTTTCTTCCTCCACTGGTCTTGTTTTCCATCCTCTTCAGGTTAGGGAGGCTGGTTCCACATTGCTACCAGGCCACTCTCTTCTCATTTGGGTTAGAAAGTTTTATGGACTAATAAGTAAAAAGATCCTCCTTTCAGCTCTTGCCTGCCTCCTTTCCAAAAACACCCAGCTTAGTACCTGAGAGATGAAGGATATAACTTCAGTACCTGAAGTTATGAAGGAGAGACTCTGGAATAACTGATACTGATTTGCAGCCCACTTTCAGTTTTCCTCATTGACAGCAGAGAGGCACAGCACCCAGGGATAACCGTATGTTTCCAAGGCCACATATGCCTTTGTTCACAGGGCCTGCTGTCAAATGGTATCCATGATGTGGCAGCCACAGGTATGTGAGTCCTTGGGTCTGACCCCTCCTTATAGCACCATAAATGTCTGATCCAAAAGCAGTTAGGCTGAGAGAAAAATGAGAAGTGTTAAGAAATTCTGGGTGTTCAAAACACAGGTTAAACTAATACCTCAAGATTCTGATTCTCAATAGCATTTCCTCACAAGGGTACAGTCATGTTTGTTCAGAGACTGCTATTCTCCCATTCAATATGGTTTTACTTTGGGGGCTATTTTTGGTTTCCTGAGCAGCTTTGTGTGAGAAATGCCAGGCATTAAGAATTCTGTTGTAGAGAATAATCATATCCAAACTACTAGAAAAAACTTTATTGTAGTGGAAAATACCCCATTGAAGAAGGGTCCCAAGTGTCAAAGGCTCACCTACATGCAAAAGCCATGTTGACTGACTCTCATCTTGACCTTGTTTCCTTCACTTTCTGGTCAGAATATCACTATCTCTTTGGCAGCATCCAACTCCTTTTAATTCTTTCTTTTCCCCACTGTTTGCTAAGTGGATAATTAAAGAATAAGTCTTGTTCTTTGTTGAGATCAAAATTTTAAAAAGGACTCGCTACAGAACCAAATGACAGCTTTGAAAGGCTAGGTTTGAAAAGGCCACTGAACTCCACCAAGGTTTATATTTTTAAGAACAGGCCTTGGCTGGTGTTGCTCAATGGATTGAGTGCCAGCCTGTGAACCAAAGGGTTGCCAGTTTGATCCCTAGTCAGGGCACATGCCTGGGTTGCCAGCCAGGTCCCCAGTAGAGGATGTACCAGAGGAAGCCACACACTGATGCTTCTCTCCCTCTCTTTCTCCCTCCTTTCCCCTCTCTAAAAATAAATAAGTAAAATCTTTTTTAAAAAAGATTTTAAGAACAGAATATAAACAAACACATTACAGCTGAGTCTTCATGCTGAGGAGGGTACAAATTTGTACAGACCATTGGTTATTGGTTTCTCTGCCCTAGTGCTTAACAGTATGGATGCCAGAGTTGACTTCCTGGTTTCAGATCCCAGTAATGCCACTTAAAAGCTGTGTGGCATTGAACAAATTACTTTATCTCTGTGTCTCAATTTTTTCATCTGTAAAATAGAGACAATAAAAGTCCATAGCTCAAAGAGTTGTGAGGACTGGACGCAAGTAAACCACTTAGTACCAGCACAGGGAAAGTGTTCAATGAATGCTATTAGTGAAACATTCATGGACGATCAGGAAGAGATTGCTTATTTTAGATTTGCATAAAAATATTATCTTAGAGCTATTGTGATAATCTTAACTGCACATAACCTAATAATACTTCAAATGTTTTTATTTTTATTTTTCCTCTATCAGCCACTCCCTGGGAGTATGTAGAAGCTGAGTCTCGGTGTATCTAAGGCTCTCTGATTCTGCGTGGGTGACACATACAAGCCATTTGAGTTGGCCTTCTGTTCTTTTTCTTATTCAGGTATTGGAAAGCTTCAAGATCATGGACTATAGCCTTTTGCTGGGCATCCACATCTTGGACCATTCCCCCAAAGAGAAAGAAGAGGAGACCTCACAAAATGTGCCTGATGCAAAGCGGCCTGGGATGCAGAAGGTTCTCTACTCAACAGCAATGGAATCCATCCAGGGTCCAGGGAAGTCTGGAGATGGGATCATCACAGAGAACCCAGACACGTAAGTGCAGCCACCCGCCCACCAACCCTCTGGGTTGGGGCAGCCCACATTATTGAATAGTTAAACGCAATCATGTTCCCTTCATGGTGGCTCTTTGGGAATAGATTCCTACTTGATGCTCATATGAATTAAGCCAGGCTTCATTTCTTTCTTTCTTTCTTTCTTTCTTTTTTTTCTCCCCCAATGGATGGGCTCATGTGTGGATAGGGTGAAAAGAGTGTCAGCAATATCTACTCAGGTGCTCAAAGACTAGAGCCACTCCTAGGCAAAGGGACAATGGGAGGAGCCCCTTGGTCCCTGGAGAATGGGTGCCAGAGTGAAGTGTGGTGTGGGACTCAGCCATTGCTGGAACCCTGGACTGCAACGTGGAGGGAACAGAGGACAAATACCCTGGTCACTCTCCTCTCACCTTTTGCTCTTCTTCTTTTTTTTTTTTCAATTAAAGTTTACATTCAATATTATTTTGTATTAGTTTTAGGTATACAGCATAGTTGTTAGACAACCATCTACTTTACAAAGGGTTCCCCTCAATATTCCCAGCACCCACCTAAGCCAGGCTTCATTTCTATTCTGTGGATAACTAGATGAGTAGCAGTTTTTTGAGTTATTATCAGTCTTTCACCCACATGGGTTTCCTCCCTCGAAGGGCTCCATATTTAAATGATGGCTGAAAATGTTTTTACCTCCATTTACCACATATTCAAAACGCCCACCATACCAAGTCTGTTCAGAAAGTATCCAGCCATGTAATATGAAGAAAAAGAGACATCTACTGACGATGATACAAGATACAAGATACTAGAAACATTGTACACAGGACAATAGCACCTCAGTCCCCTGAAGTAGGCGCCTTGGTGGGAGACACAGCTCTCCCAGTCGCCATCAGCTGCCTCATTGTATGTTCCTGAATCTCACTGAAGTTCTGAAATCCCTTCCCTTTCAAAGGCAATTTTAGTTTTAAGAAAAGCCAGGAGACACAGGGTGCCAAATCTGGGCTGTAGGAGGGCTGAGTCACCTAGATGATTTGATATTTTGCAAAAGACTCTGCACAAGATGTGATGCATGAGCAGGCGCATTGTCATGATGAAACTGCCAATCACCCGTTGCCCATGGCTGCAGCCTTCTGAATCATCCCAGGAGTTTCTACGGAGGAATGTTCAAGCTTAATGAAAAATTTGATGCAGATTTTTTGCTCTACTGGCTCAGTCATTTTGAATATGACGGTCACACAGTATACATGCTCACTCACTGGCTTCTACTGCCCCCACTGACTGGTACAGTGAAGTTGTCATTGTTCACACATGTGCATTCCAGTCCACTTGTCTTGGCTGCCAGGTTACATTGATGCTGCCCAAGCCATTCTCGTTATAGTAACAATAGTTGGCCTTTGTCTGGGCAGACCTTTTACTTCCAATTTGAATAAACATGTATTTAAGCAAATACATGATAGGAATTATGTTCCCAATTCAGAGTTTCTTCACAAGAAGATTCTGTTCTCACCTCTCCCCTGGCAGATATGGTCTGTCACCTCAGCCAGATGTGACAATAGCTTCAAGATTAGTTTGCATATTTTATAAAGTGCATATTGATGAACAGAAACAATTACAAATAAAGAAAATTATTGAAATGGTTGACTGTATCACATGCATGTACCAGCTGAGCAAGGAGACTGAAAGAAAGAAATTTTACTTGGTTATAAGAGACTACCTTCTACAATTCAACAAGACTAAACTACTGGCATATTTCACTTTTACAAAAGAAATTTGTATGTATTAAACATTTAAAAAATCCTTGCTTATAAATCAATCTGAATGCCCAATAATCAATTAAACAAATTCTTCTTTATCAATATAGTGAAATACTACGTTTATTAAAAAACATGTTAGCACTGAATATGAGAAAATGTTCATCCTATAGCAAGGGAAAATTCAGGTTATGAAACATAAAATAATCACTTTTGTGTATTAATAAATATGTACATATACACAAACATACTAGAAATTTTATTAGTGGTTATCTTTGCATTCTAGGAATGGATTCCTTACATATTTTTTCTTTGTGCTTTTCTATATTTTAAAACCTCATAGTGAACATAAAGTACTGCATTTTTCAAAAGCAGTATTTTAAAATACTTCAAAAAGTCTTGCTCATGGTTTTAAAATAGGAATACTTTCTAAATTGTATTCTTTATACACAAGTTTTATGAGCTGACAGCTTTGGTATCGTTCTCCTTTGTGGGAAATACATGATTCTGGATTTCCAAGAAAACTAACAGACCAGGGGAAGAAAAATGATGAAGGGAGAGATAGTCCAGAATTCTTAAAGATTGTCCATTTTTATTTATAGCCTATGTATTAGAAATGATTTTTAACTTTATTTTCATATGCTATGTGCCAAAATAATTTCTCTTTTGCTCTATCAATAGAATGGGAGGAATTCCAGCTAAAAGCCATAAGGGAGAAAAACTGCTTTTATTTATGGGCATCATTGACATTCTGCAATCATATAGGTAAGAAAGTTGGGGAAGTAGTCTTTTATCATTTTAAAATAAATCAACAAAAGATTCTGAAACTTTACCAGGTGGGAATGATTTTACATTTTCATTTTATTTTTCTGTTTGTTTACATTTAGATTAATGAAGAAGTTAGAACATTCCTGGAAAGCACTTGTTTATGATGGGGTAAGTGGCTTTTGTTCCTTGTTAAACTGTATATTACTCTAATTTCTCAGAGACTTTCTGAAGTCTCTGTGTGTCTGGGAAGCTGTGTCACTAGACTTGGAGAGGAAACAAGGGTTTTTATAGATTCAGAATCATGCTTGCAGATTGTTCAAATCTAAGAACAATGATAACATAAATTTGAGTATTCAAATAGTGGACATGCAGTCTGGTGGCTAGGTCCAGGCCAGGAAAACAAAATGATACCTTGTTTCTGTGTGAAATCTGAAGGGCCCAATTATGAAATGATAATGAGAAAATGGAGACTTTTCCTAACAAGCACTGGAGAGATCAGAGGACAGTTGAAAGTTCTCACAAGACCAAACTACAGAGGGGTTTGAACCTGACTTTGATAGTACATAGCCTTGGATTGGAAACCTGTATTCACTACTTTACTAGCCATTTACTGAATCAGAAATACTGTTTGGTATTTGATCTCTCTTAGCCAGGTCTCCCACCTATACCAAGAGGCAGTTGTAATACCTTGTATCCATTTCATAAGACTAATGTGAAAAGTAAATAAAATAATGCACTTTGGTGTTCAACACGACACCTAACACATAATAAGGGCATAGGAAGTAAAAGCTTTTAAGTTATGGAATTTATACGTGGCTAAAGCTGACTAGTACTAGAATGTCTTTTGGACATGGAGTTGGCATAACAGAAGAACAGTTATCAAGAAGCAGCCTCTGTCTCTCTGCCCCGCTCCCATCCCAGCACTCCCCTTCCCCACAAGGATTTTCCTGTCTAAATGTTAGACTTGAACTTCCTGCTGCTGACAGAACATTCACTGGCCTCACCTACCTCAGTTATCAACTTGAAGTGACAATTTCAGAGAATATATTGGTCAAAGATTTGCTCACACATTTTTTAAAAGATGTGAGCAGATGCTTTCCTTGGAAAAAGGATACATTTTAGATGCTGTTCTTCTTCTAGAGAAACACCCACTTTCTCAGTTCTGAGGAAGACTGATAATAACCCTTCAGCATGAAACCTGCATTTTGTCTACACACCAAGGAATGATCTCAGTCGGAATGCACTTTTAAACAACAGGTTCACAAGTTTGTTTCTAAGAATTAAACTTAGCCTTCTTATGCGGATCAGAGATTCCTTCTCTTAAAAGGCCAAGGTTAATTTTTTTTTTTCCCTTACAGCAGAGGAAAGTAGAGACTTCATACTGCCCTGAACATGGGAGAGAGAGGAACCACTCCCTCTCGCATCCCCTTTCTGTTTTCGGAGACAACTTTTAATTCCCCATGACCGGATGAGACTTCAGGTCTGAACGGCCTTGTCCTCTGTTGGTCAGATGCTTCTGAGAGGCCCCACCTTATTCTAGTTAAAACATATCTTCTTTTTTGGTGTTGGCTTTTTTAAGACACTGTCTGTGCTGATTATATACTTGTGAAATTGTAAGCAGTAATTAAGACTTATTGTCTGTTAACAAACGTGCCTCTTATTTAAACAACGTTTCTTCATACCAAAGAGAACCACAATCCAACTCCTCTTAGAAGGCAGGGCTGAGCCTTAATCATCCTGCACCCTAAGATTTTTTGAAATTCCTGTGCTTTTGGGAATATGTGTCCACTTCAGACAGGAGCTGCTTGAATACTGGGGAAAGGGCCTGTGAAACCAGAGGGAAGTTTCCCACCACGTGGACAGCACCACTGAGAGTCCAAGGACCATTACAACTTGGCCAAAGAGGGTTCCTCTGTCCAGCGTCCTTCATGCTGTGCTGACTGCAAGATTACATTGTGCTGTAGGTTAACACCCTGTTTTACAGATGAATAAACACAGACACCCAGTGTCCACGATCACACAGCTTTTGAAGTTAGAGCGAACACCAGCACCAAGTCTCTCAACCTTTGGTCCGAGGTGTATTTTTTCTTCCAAACCCACTGCAGACACCTGGTAGTATCTAAACAGATTTTTAGAAATTTTCTAATTGGAATCCACAAATCTGGAATCAAAATGGAGCATGATATAAGCAAATATACTATTTCTAAAATATTTACCTTGGATAGTAAATAAATACTGAAAAATGTACAGAATTAACTCCTTCATCCATTTCCTTTTCTGGATTTATAGTAACATTACCCTTCAGTTTTAAAGACTCCTACCAAGCATGAAAGAATTGAGTTAACAATTTAAGTGCAATTCAATCTAATCAGTAGATAATTCAGTGTAATGGGGTCATCAGTCCGCCTTGTCTCCTAGGAATCTTCCCAATGTCTATGCACTTCGTACTGGGAGATTAAACCAGCACACTTTTTCTCTTTTTTTTTGGGCAGGGGGAGGGGGAGCTGATGTCACTCTTACATTGGGGTGGTTTTGCTTGTTTATGTCCTCAATTTCTGTTCCTGACTGAAAGTGTTAACCCTCCATCCCAGATGACTTGAGGCACTGGCTGGCTGTACATAAAAAAGAATTTAAAAGCCCCCCCATGGCACACAATAGAATAAGGATTAGTCGTTTGGGTTTATAAAGCAGGATCTCTTTGCTGTGTCTCTCACCTGCCCCTCTTAATGCTTTATTTCATCCTGAGTATCTAGAATCTTTGCTCAGGTTGAATCTGGGGCCTCCTACCCCAGCCCAGCTCCTGGGGCCTGCAGGACCCAGGACACTGCTCTTGCCTGGCTCTCGACGTCCACGCCTTCTGGGCAAGGGCACGGGCTAACAGAATGCCAGGTGCACAGCTCTTCTGGCTTGAACCATCTGAGAGATAAACCTGTGATCCCTGATTTGTCTTTTCAGGACACTGTTTCAGTTCATAGACCGAGCTTTTATGCAGACAGATTTCTAAAGTTTATGAACTCCAGAGTTTTCAAGAAAATTCAAGGTAATATTCTTACGAATTTTTTTTTTTTACTTTTAACATTTCCATGCTGATTTCACTCTGTGTATCTTTGCAAGGTTTTATTGGAAGAGTTTAGATTATTTGTTTGCCAAACGCAGGAACCACATAGTCATTATTGTCGGTGTCCCAGTCAAGTATTGACTGATGTCATAATCACTAAAGTCCTGTATTTTAGTGGAAAAATTTAGAAACTGACTAAATGTTCAACCCTATAATATGTCGGTTAAATATATTTTGGTACAATCAAATAATGGAATCATATACAACAAACATAAATGATGTATGGAAGGAACATTTAGTCCTTACAGATTTATTCGCACTTATAAATACTTGATGGTCTGCATACCTAAATGCATGACAAAGTTCTGATAGGATATATAAAAATGGTAGTAGTGGTTATTCTCATGACATACTCTTCAGGACAGACCATGTTAGATCACAAAACACTTTCAATAAATATAAAAAATTAAACAACAGTGTGGCGATTGCTAGGAGGGAGAGAAGGCGACAGGAGGTGGAGCAGGGCGGATATTGCTCTTACGAGGGACAAATGGTGATGGACAAGTCTAGGCCTGGGGTGGTAAATACGCAATACAGTGTACAGACCATGTGTTGTAGAATCGTGCACCCAAAACCTGTATAATTTTGTTAACTAGTGTCACCCCAATAAATTCAATAAAAAGGAGAAAAAATCTAAAAAGTAAAAAAGATTGATATTATACAAAGAAGCTTATTTTAAAATCTATTTTAATTATAGTTGACATATAATAATAGATTAATTTCAGGTGTACAACAGAATGGCATTCACCATTTTTATACCTTACGAAGTGATCACCACAGTAAGTGTGGTAACCATCTGTTCCCATATATAATTATTATGATACTATTGACTATGGAGGACTCTGGCCCGCAGAGTCCCCCGATGCGCCACGGATGGGAGAAAGAGTCGTTCCAGACACCACTTGCCTGTCTGGAATGGGGAAGGAAACGGGAAGGTGATTCTCTCTCAAGGAGAATGCCCCAAGCCCCTGTGCTCAATGGCTTTTATTGAGAAGGTTACAAGCGAGAAACAGGTAGCAGGAATGTATAGGTAATCTAATTACATCAGTAACTTAAGTTTATAGGGAATAGGTGATGTTTAAAAAAGACAATGGCAGGGACACACCGAATTGCTTGGCTCCAAGGTGAGCAAACATTATGGTGCCAGATGGGATTTGGTCCAGGAGTTTTATAAATTTCTTTCCCAGCCCTGAGCTGGTTACCTGGTATAAGATTAACAGAGCTTGAGGGAGAAACAAAGCGTGCTTCAAGGGGTGTAACTTACTTCTAGGCCTGATTCCCCGCCGGGGACCCTCGGAGCTATTATCGGGTCCTGCCCATCAACAGCATTACCTGTTCCAGGCTTACGGGTCCTCTCCCAGGCCCCACAGGACTATAGTCCCTGATACCACTCAAAACGGCCCCGTGCAATTGACTATATTCCCTGTGGTGTATGTTACATCCCTGTGACTTCTTTTATAACTAGATTTGTATATTTAATCCCCTTCTCTTTTTTTCTAATCATAATGGAACCAATAAATAAAAACTGGAAAGTTTACAAATATATGAAAATTGAATAACACCCCACCAATATATCAAAGAAGCAAGCACAGGGATATTAGAAAAAAATTACAGATGAATGAAAACAAAGATATACACACTAAAAACATGGGGTGCTGTGAAGGCCGTAAATGCCTACATTAAAAAAGAAGAAACATCTCAGATCCATAGCCTAACTTGAACCATTAGGGAGGAACAAGAAGAGCAAACTAAACCCAAAGCTAACAGTTATTCTGAATTGTGGGTTTATATAGGTTTTCTTTTTCTTACATCAGTATTTATTAAACTTTCTACAATGGATATGTATCACTCATGTAGTAAGTTTTTAAACTATGTGAAAAGGAAAAAAAATAACCCTATCATTACATGTAGTTTTATCATTTAGGTATCCTGTGGTCTAATTATATAAACCAAAACATAGCAATTTAGCCGCACAAACCTGAAAAAGTAGAATGTTCATATTATATATTTATATAACAGATTTTTCTTATAATATTTGTTGGGGTTTTCTGTTCATGAAAGTAAACTACTTTCTTAAGTCTTTTAATTTTTTCCAGCTTTATTGAAATATAATTGACATATAACATTGTGTAAGGTTGTGTGCGATGTGCTGATTTGATGCATATATGTATTGCAAAATGCTTATCACAGTTAAGTTACTTAACACATCCATCACCTCACATGATTACAAATTTTGTGTGTGTGGTGAGAATGTTCAAGATCTACTCTCTTAGCAACTTTCTACTATTTAATAAAGTATTGTTAAATATAGTCACCATACTGTACATTAGAGTCCCCAAGTTTTTTTGTCTTATAGCTGGAAGTTGATACCCTTTGACAGCATCACCCCATTTCACCCATCCCCCCACAGCCACTCTTTTACTCTGTTTCTACGAGTTCAACTATCCTAGAAGACACGTATATGTCAGATCATACAGTATTTGTCTTTCTCTGTCTGACTTATTTCATTTAGCATATGCTTTCAACATCCATCCATGTTGTGGCAATGGCAGGATTTCCTTATTTTCAATGCTATGTGCGTGTGTATCACGTTTTGTTTATCCATTTATCTGTCAGTAGAAACTTAGGTTGTTTCCGTGTCTTGACTACTGTAAATAGTGCTGCAACATATTTGGGAGGGTAGATATCTCTTCAAGATAATGCTTTCATTTTGTTTGGATATATATCCAAAAGTGGAATTGGATCATATGGCAGTTTTATTTTTAATTTTTTGAAGAACCTCCACACTATTTCCCACAGTGGCTGTGTCAGTTACATTCCCACCAACAGGGCAGAGGGTTTCCTTTTCTTCACATCTTTGCCAAGACTTATCTCCTATCTTTTTGTTAATAACCATTCTAACAGGTGTGAGATGGTATCTCGTGGTTTTGGTTTGCATTTCCCTGGTGATTAGTGATGTTGAACATCTTTTCATCTACCTGTTGACCATTTGTGTGTCTTCTTTGGAAAATGTCTATTCAGGTCCTTTGCCCATTTTAATTAGATTATTTGGGTTTTTGCTATATTGAGTTATTCGAGTTCCCTATATACTTTGGATATTAACTCTTTAGCTGGTATACAGTTGGCAAGTATTTTCTCAAATTCCAGAGGTTGTCTCTTCACTTTTTTTATTGTTTCCTTTGCTGTTCAGAGGCTTTTAAGTTTGATGTAGTCCCACTTATTTATTTTTGCTTTTATTGCTTTTGCTTTGGTTGCCATATCCAAAAAATTGTTGCCAGGACCAATGGCAAGGAGCTTTTTTCCCTGTGTTCTATTCTAGGAGTTTTATGGTTTCAGGTCTTACATTTAGGTCTTTAACCCATTTTGATTTAATTTTTATGACAGTAAAAACCTTTCAATGTAGAAATATTAGAAACTACAAAAAGATTCAGAAAACCATGTATGTTATTTGATATCCCACAATCCAGAAATATCCACTATTAATATTTTGATATTCTTCTTATCAATGTTTATGCCTGTGCTTTGTGTAGAATTTTATGTATGTTCTTTATATTTTATATAACATTGTTTCCCATATGATTGTATATTCTACAAAGATACCATTTAAAATTGCAATAAAAATATAGATGTGTAGTAAAATTGTGATACAACATTAAAATTATATGGGTATGCCATGATCTCTTTCACTATTTTTCATTATTGCACATTTGAATTGTTTCTCCTTTTTCTATTTCCAACTAATATTTTATGAACATCATTTCAGATCAATTTTATGTCCAAACTTATGATTATTATTTTAGGATACACTTAAGAAAGGAGTACTGGGGAGTTAAAATGCACGCAACTGCAGAGATAGATGATACCACTGTAGACGTCCAAAAGAGGCTGAACCCTTCTAACCCTCAGCCAGAATTATTCTTTTTAAAATATGCTACTCTGATAAGTGAAAAATGTTATCTGGTTGTTTTATTTTTGTATTTGTTAAGTACTGGTGAAGTTCAACCATTATTCATGTTTATTAGACATTTGTCATTCCTTTGAGAATTGAGCTTTGTGGCATTTGCTCCTTTACACTAGGTGTTTATTATTTTTCCAAATGATTTATATGAGTTCTACATATTAAAAATATCAATCCTTTTAAAATCTTTTTTATTCTAGGAAAAACTTTTGTTTCACATTCAACTATCTCTGTGCTATCTTAAAATTGGTCTCAAATTGAGACCAATTAAAGTAAATCCTCTAAGGGGTTTTGTTGTATTTATTTATGTATTTTGCCTAAGATGGACCATAAGATAGTGTTTATTTAGCTTGCAGGCCTGTCTGAATAACAGCTTGTGGCCTATTTACCCCAAGGTGGAAAAACATGACTCTCCTGTGCCCTGGTTGGTTTAGGGAGGATGTGGCCTTGGCGTCCAGCTTTAGTGAGACTCCTCCGTGAGAACCCCCATCTTGGGAGGTTTGCTTCCTTGGCTGTATAGGAATCAGTGGTTCAATCAGTGGCATCTTCACTTCCATGAACTATGTTATGTGTTGCACATCGTCCCCGTTTTTATTGTTTATCATGTTTTTAATGTAACAAGTATTTTGCTTCTCAAGTCGTCAAATCTGTTGACTTTTTTTCTATTTTGATGTTTAATCTCTTTTTATAACATCTTTATGGAGATATAATTCACATACTGTGAAATTTACCCTTTTCAAGTATACAATTATTTGATCCTTAGTATATTCACAAAGTTGTGCAACCATCACCACTGTCTTATTTTAGAACACTTTCTTTATCCCAAAAAGAAATCTCATAGCCATTAGCAGTCATGCTCATTCCCTCTTCTTCCCAGCCCCTGGCAACTACTAATTTATTTTCTGTCTCTGTGGATTTGCCTATTCTGGGTGGTTTGTGTAAATGGAATGATGTAGTATGTGTC